TTTTTTTTCACTTTTCGATACTATAAATGATATATATATATATAGATTATGGATTAAGTTAGGTTAAATCACATGCATATTACAATAAAAAAAATAGGTAATAAATTTATAGAATGCCAACTTTTTTATATTGTTATTCAAAATATGTAATATCGAAACAGAGGAGAGATGATTATTTGTTTTACAAATAATTTTGAAAAATCTATATATAATATGATTAGAATACTAAAATTTTTCATATATATATTTATAATAAGATAAGTGTGAATTATTGAGTTAAATTATGTTTATTCCATTTCTAGCTGATAGAGATTATCGAGGAAGAAGGTTAATTGATAAAAGATTCCCCGGAAAGACACCGATTAATAAACAAGTATTAGCAAAATACTCTAAAGGTCCTGGGCTTGACTTAAAAAGAAAAACAAATGTGATTAAAAATAAAGTTGTTAGGAAGAAATTACAGCGGAAAGAGCAGATTATAGAGGAACAGGTAGAAGCTTCTGCTCGGGCAGAATTACTACTGACAGAAGAGCATGGCTACTTGGAAGCTGATGATGGAGAAATAACTACTGAATATCGGCAAAAGCAAATTGCAAACAATGTGGACATAACAAGTGCAGCCAAACAATTCAAATTGGATTTGCAGTTTGGTCCATATTGCTTTAAATATACCAGAAATGGCCGACATTTACTTTTGGGTGGAAAACAAGGTCATGTGGCAGCTTTTGACTGGGTAACAAAAAAGCTGGCTTGTGAAATAAATGTGATGGAGTCTGTACATGATGTTACATGGCTGCATCTAGAAACTATGTTTGCTGTAGCGCAAAAGGATTGGGTTTATATTTATGACAATCAGGGAATAGAGTTACATTGTTTGAAAAGAATGAATGGTGTGACAAGATTGGAATTTTTGCCATATCACTTCTTGCTTGCCAGTGGATCGAAAGACGGTCATATGGCTTGGTTGGATGTGTCTATGGGCAAGCTTGTCGCTCGTTATAATTCACATTTGGGCAGAATATCTGTAAGTTTCGTGAAAAATTGTTAATTTTTTTAAGCTACTTATGATTATATTTTAAGTATTTATCCATGTGATTATTAATTTATGGTAGGTGATGACACAGAATCCAAATAATGCAGTGTTATGTGTGGGTGATTCGAAAGGAATAGTGTCTATGTGGTCTCCAAACTCTACTAAGCCATTGGCGAAAATGCTCTGCCATCATCAGTCAATCATGACATGCGCTATTCATCCATATGGGACTTATATGGCAACCAGTTGTGTAGATAAATCTGTGAAGATATGGGATATTAGGCAATTGACAGGGCCAGTGAGTCACATGCATCTTTGTTCTCCCACTCATCGTATGTCTTACAGTCAACGTGGCTTGCTCGCACTTGCTATGGGCAATGTAGTAGAAGTTTTTAGGTAATTTGTTGTTGAAATGAGTGTTTAATATAATCAAGAAGTTATGTATGTTATTGTCCAAATTTATATTTGTCAGGGAATCATTCGGTGATTTTAAGCCATATTTGCGACACAAGACTGCTCGCAATGTAGGCTGTGTTAAATTTTGCCCATATGAAGATGTGTTGGGAATTTCTACGGCAAATGAATTTTCGTCGCTCCTCGTGCCAGGAAGTGCGGAAGCAAATTATGATGCACATGAGATTAATCCATTCCAAACTAAAAATCAAAGACGGGAAGCGGAAGTAAAAGCACTTTTGGAAAAGATACAACCAGAATTAATCACTCTCGAATCAACTGAGATACTTGAAATTGATGTACCTACTTATAAAGAGAAAATGGAATCAAAGAAAAAACTTTTGGTAAATGAGAAGCAAAAATATTTTACAGTATAGATTATTTTGTAATCTTATGATTATGCTAATGAATGTGCCATTTTAACAATTATTTTTTTTTTAGTATGTTAAACCAAAACCAATAAACTTTGAATCCCGACGAACGAAAGCTAAGGGCAAAGGTGGCACCGCGAAAATAATAAAAACTAAAAAGATACTGAAAGAATTAAGTCGTCGGGTAAGAACTTGTCATATATTTTGAATTATTTTTAATTTCATATTAGTCTGTCATCGATAATATAAATTGTTATTATTTTTAGGAAATGATTGAAACATTTTGCGAAACACATGAAGAAGCGGCTCCGAAAAAAACCGAAAGTCAAAACAAAGATTATGGTGTATTAAATAGATTTCTTCCAAAAAAATAAAATAAATTCTAATAGAATTTAATTTTAATTAAATATAATATTTATAATATTATATTTAAATGTATAAAACTCTTGTATATATTTT